TTCTTTTTGAAATATTTGATTATTTAGACATGCCTTTAGATCAGTGGTTCTCAGATGGCGGGTTGCTTGCAGCCCAATCAGCACCCAGCTGTGGCCCATGTGACATCCTCAGGGCCATACAGGTAGCATATATATTGTGTGGATGTGGCCCACATAACACATAGAGCGCTACAATGCTAAAGGGGTTGAGAACCACTGCTTTAGATACAAATGTGGCAATTGAAGGTAAATATTCACATATTAAGGGTTACCACTGTGGACGCTATTGGTATCTGTAAACATCTTTTTTCTCAGAGAAAATATGATGGGCCCAGTTAAAATATTGTGTATTGTCCCTTAGGGTTAGTTAATCATATTCTAGCTCAGGCCCTCATCTCCCAGAATGGGCATTTTTTAGTCTTTTTGGAATGATTTTTGAAACAGTGCCTTCTGTCCTAGTCCCGTTTATGGCAGTGAGAACTACGTCCATAGAGATTTGATGACCTGATCTTAGTTTGATCATTTTCCTAGTTTAAAAATAGAATGCTTTCCCTGAAGACCTCATTCATTTGATGATTCAACGAGCAGAAAGAACGATGGTGCTCTGCAGCAGTCATAGCCATTCCTATTTTGAAAAAACGCCAAGATATTTAACAGTCTGACGTGATCTTCCAGAAAAGACATAGGAAAGCCAGTGGAAATTTCCTGAGCATCATTCTTAAAAAAAATTGCAGATGTTTTATTGTAATCGGTTGAAACAGTGCAGTAACATTGTAAGCTGTACTGTTAGGGTAGTGTGGAATATAGTGATATATACCGTGTGCGTTTTACAAGGGAACGTCGGAACCTACCAGCTGCACCAGTTCTACTTTTAAAAAACTTGTAAGAAATATAGGGACAGATCCTCAAATATATCCCAGAGTAGACAGCATATAGCTTTCACAAGATGAACAGAAATGTTTCTGCTGGGGAATCTTTTCCCAATATCCAGGCATGGATTCTTTAGTGTCTTCCCCAGCTCCAACCAAATGCTATTTGATATACTGGACCTCGATCAAATCCCACCTATCCATGCAGGAAACCATCAGTTTTGCCTTCTGGGAGCTCTTTGCCCCCCTTCCTCACGCTCAATCCCCTGTTAACGGCCTTGAATGCAGTGCTCATTCTCTTGCAAAAATGTTTTGTGATTCAGCTGGGACAAGAAGCAATTGTGGAGCAAATAATGTTTTTCCCACTCCCAGTGGGTAAAAGATCTCTCCTCGGCCGGGGGCTCCTATGCTCTTTAAAAACAGAGGGCCAGATCCTCAGTTGGTGTAAATTGGCTTGATGGCTCTATGCTAATTTACACCAGCTGAAGACCTGGGCCAGAATCTCTAGGTGAATTTTTTTCCCCAGGGGGAGGAATGGTAGATGGGAGAAGGAATCGATCTGGAGTGATTTCCTTACATCAGCTTGCAGCTGGATTCACTCCTGCTTGCGGAAAGCCGATAAGAACAAAGACAACAAGATGAGCTTTAAAGAGCTCAAGAGCTTCCTGAAAGAAGTGAACATTCAAATGGATGACAGTTATGCCAAGCAGATCTTTCAGGTAAGGAGAATTCACAGTTGGCATGGCAGAGAATGGGCTGGCTTGGGGTCACAGTCCCTGACCCTCACACCAACTGTCTGGAGACCTAAGCAGAGGCAAACTCTCAACATGCTGACTGAGTCCTAGGATTGTGCATGTGCCTTAGGATCTTCAAAGTGCTCATTGTTGGCCTAACTGGGCTCCCAGTTAAATCAATGGTCAAACTCCCATTGACTCCAGCAGGAGCAGAGCTGGGCCAACCTTGAGTGCGTTTTGAAAACTCCACCCATGGTGAATGGGGGACCCACTGTGAGAGCTGCTATGTCCCAAAGGTATAATTGAGTCCAAGAACGGAGGGGGATGCAGAAAAGGATCAGACATTGATATGGATAATGCGAGATAAATGGATAAGATCAGTGAGAGAGCAGGTGCCCTTGGGCACTGGTGGGTCAGGACTTCAGAGTGTATCGATTACACGCCGAAAACTTTAGTCCCCCCTGGAATAAGTTCTGCTGTAGTCACTCGCCCTAACACAGTGGAGTAAAATATCAAGTGGCTTCTGTAAAATCAAGGAAAGTTATACAAGGCAGGGGAAAGTGTGAATTAAAGGAATACAATCATGATAGTTATGCAACACTGTACACTGGCTTGGAGCAGTGATGCTGCTTTAATGACCCAAGACACATGAACTCCGCTCAGGGATATGCACTACTAATTTCTTGAGCTTCGACTTGCTGGCGGAGCCAGTGGGAAGGTAATGACTGTGACAAGAAGTCCTGAGATGTTGAGTTTTTTAGTGTTCCTGAAACCCAGCCTTCCTGCTTGCATGAGCCAAAGCCCATTGGATTGATTTCTAGGCCCTCATCACATCCGTCACTTAACTTCCCTGGGCCCTCATCACATCCGTCACTTAACTTCCCTGAAGTGGGCAGTGTCAGAAAGAACTGTTCCTTTCCCTTCAGAGCGCTACTAAATGGTAAAAGAACACACAGTTGTCAAAGCCCAGTAGCGGTTCTGATGCTCCCCTCTGCTTCTGCAAGTGGAGGGCTGGGGAGTAGAGCCCTGCGCAGGGCTATTTTTTAAATCCTGCGCCCGTCCCGCCTCGCAGTACCCACTCCCACCCACGGAAACCTTAGATCCCGCAAATCCCGCAAGAGAGACAGATTCCCCCACGCTACTAAAAACAAAACAAACAAACAAACAAAAACCAGATTGGTTAATATATTATATATGTATGAATGGCATTCAGACACAATTTTTACCACTAAAAGAATAAAACGAATCTTGCTTAAACCATGTAAAAAGATATTTTAACTCCTGTTATAAGACATCAGATCTCTTTCTATCCCTCGCTTAAAGTTAAGTATTAAAACCTTTATTAAAAAAAAAAAAGAAAAAAAGAAAAACTTGCTTTCCATTGCTGAAATTCTATTATGATAAACTGGCGAGAGATTTAGTATTTTCCCACACATTACTACAGTCAGGTTTTTTTGCCCATCCAATCCTGACCGCAACAAAGTACATTTTATCCGCTCCCGCTATTATGGCAGCCTCCTGTCTGAGTCTCCCCAGTCCTGCTGCAGGGCTCAACTGGGGAGCCTCAGGTCCTAGCTGGGTATTGCATAGAAGGAAGGCATGCCAGCTCTTTGTGCTCCCCTAACTCTAGATCTGTGGAGACCTCTCTGTGTAGGAGCTCCACATGGATTCGGGGGGAGGTTGGCCAGCAGATCTCTACTGATTACTTGCTGCAGAACCCCCAGAATAAAGCTGCATAAACACAAGCTCTGTCTGCAGTAACAAGTGCTTTCTTCCTTTTCCAAATGGTGGAACGGGCCTGCTCCTCTGAGGGGACTCCTCTTGGAGTAGCTGCAGTCAGGGAGCACCCAGAAGAACAGCTTTCAGACTGTGAGCTCTGTGGGGCGTACAGCACCTAGCCATGGGGACCTAACCTGGGGTCTGTAGGTGCAGCTGAAATGCAAATGACAGTAGTGATAATGAGGTGCTCTTACAGAGGATGTGCTCTGTGAGAGCTCCAGGGGAATAGAGGGAGGCGGGGAAGGGGTTGGCAGTGGAGAAATGAGAGATGTCCACACAGACACGCTTGTCTCTGACAGATCTAGGGAGCATAATCCCCTGCCACTTCCTAACCCCCTCCCTCAACGGAATAATTAGAAGGAAATTCTGGGAGTGGAGACTTGAGGCGTTTCAGTTCCTGCATAGGGGAGAATTGGGCTCAATGAATTAAAGCTATGAAGAGAGACTAAGCACTTGACTGTATTGGTTCATGTAGCAATGTGCTGTTCTTCGTACAGGCACACTAATGAAGGATGATAGATCAGTCAGACAGTGGCTATAAGGGTGTTTTCCTAAATTAGTCCTGTTTTCCGTCAAGGTGGCCTCCCATACCTGTGTGGTTCCTCTATAAGTTCTAAGTAGACCTGGGTACAACGTCTCCAATGAAACCAGAAGCCACATAAAACTCACCTGGTTGTGCATTTCATTTCAAACTTGATCTCAGCGGTTTCTTCACAAAGTTTCCCCACTCTTTCTGGCAAACCCAGTCTGATTCAGGGTGTCAGGATGCATCAAAGCCAGGTAAAACCCAGCAGTTTGGACCAAGATTCTCTCTGTGATTTGGGGCTCATTCAAACCCAAAGTGAGGGGACCACGCCATACAGGTCAAACTCAGAGAACGTGTTCACACACACAGAGCAACCCAAACTGGAATCTGGCCATGATGGCAGCACTTGCACTCCTGTTCTTTTGGAAAGGGCAGTGAAGTCTGTTTAATGACCACTAATGGCCAGGCTTCCAAGAGGTGGCCCTTACCACAGCACAAGCCTCCATACAGCCGTACTCGGGCATTGGCTCAGTTCTGTCTCAAAGGAAAGAGCATCATTGGCCAAATCCCCACTATCGCCAGTCTGCCTTCGTCTTTGTGCCTCCTCTCCAAGAATTCTACAAATCTAACGCTGCTTAGGTGACAAGTTTTACCAAGCTGACATCACAGGATGGTATAGACACTGACAGCAGCAAGCAAAATAATTGCTTCAAGAGTGTAGAAAACTATCTTGTTGGATTACAATTTTTTATTGTTTTTATGCTTTTCAATGCACACATCAGAATAGAGAAAGAAAACAAAAGACATTATAAACTTGTAATGGCACCATCTGTACCGTACACCATAAATTAATGAAGATATCCTATCTCCTAGAACTGGAAGGGATGTTGAAAGGTCATTGAGTCCAGCCCCCTGCCTTCACTAGCAGGACCAAGTACTGATTTTGCTCCAGATCCCTAAGTGGCCCCCTCAAGGATTGACCTCACAACCCTAGGTTTAGCAGGCCAATGCTCAAACCACTGAGCTATCCCTCCTTCTATAGTATTAACATGCATCTGCAAAAACCATTTAACAACCTTAATATTAAACTAAAAAAGCAAATAAGTTGAAATCTATGTAGAGGGTGTCCTTGTAAATTACTACGCATGCCAGGAGAAACAGCATGTAAGTAGGTCACTTTCTCAGCTTCTCTCATCATTAAGGTGAATAAATGCCACCTCTGTCACTTTGATCATGCCAGTTGTGAGATCATAGTTTTGACTTGTAGAATGCAACGAGCCGCTGGATAGTTTAGTTTGGTTCATAACTAGGCAGCCCAATGGCTCCCAAAGTGTTCCAGCGGTGACTTTCCATAGAGAGCAATAATACCAGTGCCCCAAAGACTTCATTATCATTTTGCTAGAGGAAACCTCAGGGCATCATGATTGTCTTCTGTGTGATTAGCACGGCTTGGCTTGGGTCCTAACAGGATGGTTGGTTAAACTGAAATGTGCATTTTGTTTCTAGGAATCAGGGCTATAACCATATCTTGCATTTATACCGTGTCTACCATCCTGAGGGATCCCAGAGCCAGTTATATACTATGCACGTACAGAACCCCTGAAAGGTTGCCGCTTCTGAAGTGGGTGGTGACCACCAAATGGCACACAGCATGGTCTACAGCACTCAGGGCTGGGGGATGGGACCTTTTTTGGCCAAGGACCTTGGGGCAAACCAAGTACTATGGGAATTTTGAGGTCTGTGCAGAGCGGGCAGGACTTAGGTTTTCAGAGTCCCACCTGAAAGACCATCTAGACTTAATTGAACTCAATGGGCCAGATCCTCAGCTATGGAAGAGCTGGCTGTCTATATTAGAAATTTATAGCAAGCCAGTCATCCAAATAGCTAGGCATCAACTGATAAGCTAGGTACAGAGAAACCTGCACCAAAAATCCCTCAATCCTAATAAGAGACTCTGTGTCTTAAGCGAGCATTTTGATGAATGCCCAGGTTTTCCATTACAGTTTGTTTTGTTTGACCTTTAGTTAATTAAAATGTTTACCAACAAAAATCCTACCAAAGTAATTAACATTACGGTGGGATAGGGAGCACTGCTGTAATATTGCTTGCAGAGGCAACATTGTGAAGATTGTAAGGGCAACCATTATATCACATCTAGTCAACTGCTAACTAGAGCTGGTAGGGAAAATGGCTTTTTCCCCATTGGAAATGTTGATGAAAACGCATTAATTCTCATGGAAAAGTTTGACTTTTAATAAACCATCAAAAACCGAAGATTTGAGCCAGAAACTGAAACTTTTCAGTTCAGAAATTCTGCTGTAGTGCCTCAAGGGTGCTGTAGTTTCAGTGCCTTATGCTCCCATTCTCCTTAATAAGCTAGGCTTCTGGAAGGGCTACATCTTCCATAATGCATCCTGGTCTCCCCTTATGGGAAGTGGTGGCCTCATGGGAGTCTCTGGTTGTGATGCATCATGGGAGACAATCTATCTGGGGAGGCCAATCCTTAGAGGAGACTGGGGATGCAAGGAAACTGAACTACAGTGCCCCTGAGGTACCAAGGTAGGATATCTGGATCAAAATATCTTGGTTTGGGGGCATTTGTTTTTCTGAGGAGAAATTGAAACTTTCCACAGAACGCAGGAACTTCTCACCAAAAAAATTCATTTTGCTGAAAACCCAAATTTTCCATCCAAAAGCAGTTTTTATGGAACATCTTCAACCAGCCTTTCTGCCTCTGCTTGCTAGTCTCTTAGTGCCAAATCCCAAACCCATTAAAGTGAATGGGAGTCTTTCCGTTGACTTTAATTGGCTGTACATCAGTCCCTTCATTACTTGGTTAATACAGGTTTCACTTATTGTTTCCTTGTACTCCCCTGTCTATCTCCATCTGTTGTATCTTGTCTTATCTTAGATTGTAAGCTATTGGGAGCAGAGACAGGCTTTTTGCTCTGTGTTTGTACAGCACCGAGCACAACAGGGTCCTGTTCTATGATTAGTGCTTTTAGGTGCTCCAGTAATACAAATAATAAGTAGTAATAACTGTTGATGTTTCAGTGATAGAAAGTGACCCTGGATAGGTCAGTAAGAGCCATCAATCAAGGGCTTCTCATTAGGCGGCAAATAACTTTCCAATTATTTTGTGTTCTACACTGTTTAGCGCTGGTGCAGATTACGGCTGGAATATGCTATAAGGAAAGACGGTTTTCACTCCTTCTCCCCTCTACGTTTACAGCAGTGTGACAAATCCAAGACAGAGACCTTGGAAGATGAGGAGATAGAGACATTTTACAAGATGCTGACTGAGCGGGCGGAGATAGACGGGATCTTCGCAAAATACTCCAGTGCCGAAGGGATCATGTCCAGGGACAACCTGCTGAGGTTCCTCCGAGAAAAGCAGCGGGAGGAGGATGCTGTCCCTGAATCTGCACTCTCCCTGATCGAGAGATATGAACCCAACGAAATAGGTGGGTTGGCAGCACTGGCTGCTATTTGGGTGAGAGTCTAAGATGCTTGCTCTGGGTAGAGCAATTCCTGGAACTATTTTGCTGCTGTTTCCTTCTGCAGCCTTGCGTGTCCTTGTAGTGCAGCAGCCATCTCGGGTGTGTCAATATTCCAGAATAATGTTAGCAGCTCCGCAGGGATGTGTTGGGTAGACTGGAAAGTGTCTTTTTTCTCAGGTCTTTGCTCTGGTGCAGTACCCAGCAGGAAAGTGGTTGATATAGGGTTTTAAGGGTTGCTGTAGTCCTTGTGGGGAAGCGACAGAGGGTTTATTTAATAATAATCCTTGTATAATATTTAGCACTACTGTAGCACCTGTCATCTGATGATCTCAAAGCACTTTACAAAGGCAGATTTGTATTGTCATTTCCAGTTTCCAGATGGGGAAACTGAGTCACAAAGAGCTAGCTTCACAATAGGATTTAGGCACCTAACTGCCACTTTAAGCACCTAAATCCCAGAATCAGGCCCTACTGGGATTCACAAAACTCCTTCTCAGCTGTCACCAAACTCTGTAGGCACCTAAGCTCACTCGGAGCCTAAATTTTTGGAGTAAAAGTTCCCTAAGTGCCTATGTTCCTGCCTCTGAGCATGCCCACGGCAGCCCCAGGCCAGGCATCTGGATAATACACATGACTGGACTATTGGTATAGAAGGGTACAGCTTGCCCAGGAAGGACAGGTAGGGAGAAAAGGGAGGAGGGATTGCCTTGTATATCAAAGATGTATACACTTGTGTTGAGGTTGAGATGGAAATAGGAGACAGACTTCTTAAAAGTCTCTGGGTAAGGATAAAAGGGGTAAAAAACAAGGGTGATGTCATGGTAGAGGTCTATTATAGACCACATAACTAGGAAGAAGAGGTGGATGAAGCTTTTTTTAAACAACTAACAAAATCATCCAAAGCACAGGTCTTGGTGGTGATGGTGGACTTCAACTACCGAGATATGTGTTGGGAAAATAGTGCAGCGAGACACAGATTATCCATCAAGTTCTTGGAATACATTGGAGACAATTTTTTATTACAGAGGGTGGAGAAAGCGATTAGGGGAGAAGCTGTTCCAGATTTGATTCTGACAAATAGGGAGGAACTGGTTGAGAATTGGAAGATGGAAGGCAGCTTGAGTGACAATGGATCATGAGTTCATGATTCTAAGGAATGTCAGGAGGAAGACAGCAAAAGAAAGACAATGGACTTCAAGAAGGCAGATGTTAGCAAACTCGGAGAATTGCTAGGTAGGATCCTGTGGGGCAAACCAAGTACTATGGGAATTTTGAGATCTGTGCAGAGCGGGCAGAACTTAGGTTTTCAGAGTCCCACCTGAAAGACCAACTAGACTTAATTGAACTCAATGGGACAGATCCTCAGCTGCTTTCTCTACACCAGTCATGATTTTATAGACCTCAATCATATCTCCCCTCCACCCTAAGTCACATGGGGGGCCCGATTGGGTAAGAACTTCCTACTGGATCTGGCCCCTGCAGATGAGTTTGCACAAAACAGGGTAAGATTCACTGGGCCAAAGAGAGAGCAAGCACAAGTCTGAGAATGACTCAGTAACCTGGCAGTTGGAGCACTCCCCTGGGAGGTGAGCGACCTGGTATCCAGTCCCCCTGCCCCAAGGGCTTTTTATATGATTTATCCACAGTGGAACTGCTTCAGCGGGAGAGACTGAGCGAGCCCCGCTTCGGAATATCCCAGAGCTCAGTTAGGGCACTCCCTAGAGAGGTGATAGATCCTTGTTCAAATCCCTCTACTCCCTTCACGAGGAAGGGAGATTTGAGCTAGGAGTCTCCCAAATCCCATATGAGTACACTAACCATTGGGCTAAAAGTTAGGCGGGAGCTGGCTCTGGTCCTCCCCTGGCCGCCTGCAAAGACAGCATAGATGCCACATGCCAAGAGAGGGTTCACAGCTGAGAATCCCAAGCAGAGGGAGGTGCCTCCCTCCAGCCTGCACTTAGGACCCATCTCTGTGAGAGCAGTGGGGCTTAGGACATACTCCCGTTGCTGGCATCTCCCATTGGCTTGTATAGGTGAGGTAGGTTTGCCACCTTTCTAATGGCTGGTAACCAGACCTCCGTGGTGCTACCCCTTGCTCAGCCTCTTCCCCCCCCAAGCCCCATCCCTGCTCCGCCTCTTCCCTTGAGGCCCCGCCCCATCTCCATCTCTTCCTCCCAAGGCCCCGCCCCTGCTCTGCTTCTTCCCCCCCAGATAAAAAAAACTGGACATCAGGGTTTGTCAAATGGCACCCGGACACACAAGCCAAAACCTGGACTGCCAAGGTGAAAACCGGACAGGTGGCAACCCTAAGGGGAGGAGCCATCTAGCATGCTGGCTTTTGTGAATCCCATTCTGAGACCCCGCTGCCTATCTCTCCTTAGTCACTGCATAGGGAGCCTAGGCTCCCCAACGCAGCCTTTGTGAATCCCAGTGATTTTCCAAGCACCTGGAAACAGGGCCGGCTCCAGGCACCAGCCGACCAAACACGTGCTTGGGGCGGCACCTGAGAAGGGGCGGCCAATGTTGGGGTGGTGGGGGTTGCTCGCGGTGTTGTTGTTGTTGTTTGGCAGGGTGGGGCTCGAGGGTGCAGCCCGGCGCTCCGGGGGTTTGGGCGGCGCTGGGGGGGGGGGAGGGTCGGGGGTTTGGCCAGCCCCGCGCTCGGGGGGGGTGGGGGTTTGGCTGGCCCCACACTCCGGGGGTTTGGCCGGCCTGGCGAGACGTGGCGCGGTGCTCAGGGGGTCGGGGTTTGGTCGGCCCGGCCCAGCCCAGCGCAGCGCTTGAGGGGGTCCGGGTTTGGGCGGCCCGGCGCTCGGGGGGGGTTGGCAGTCCGGCGCAGCGCTCT